TGCCTTCAATGGTGTAACAAGAGCTGTTTGCCAAGCGTTTACTGGAAGATTATTGAACACAGCCGATAGTGAACCCTCACGGACCCACCTTAGCGGTAGCATCTAAAGCCCGGGCTGCTTATTGAGCCACGATTGACTCAACACAGTCACATCTACACGTATAATGGAGGGCTGATCAATGAAGCCCATCTAAGAACGGAAGCAGATTTTCACCAGCCGACTGACCTTGGATACAGGAGCGATACCAAGTGGTTATAAATACCAGCTTCTCTCCTCACTAATGCACATCAAAGCTCCAGGCGGCGATGGCTGAGAAAGCGTGCACGGATCTCTGTGAAATTACAGCATGGAGCAAAAGACAACAAAAGTGAGGCTAAATATACCCGTGCACATGGGCACTGCGTTTACTGCTGTGGCTTCTTTTGAAGTGCAAAGTACATGTAACAGGTCTCAATGGGAACGCTGCTGGAGCCAATCCCAAAGCTGTATCTCATTTATGCACAAATCAGCATTTCAACCACAGAGAGTAAGTCACAGGGTATTAATACATAGTTTTACAAAAAGGTTAAAACAAGAGTAGATTTTAGGTTCAACTAAAATGATTAGATATAAAAGGGTTTTCAGAAGTGTACCTTAAAGATTTATTCAGATTCAATAACGTACTATGATATAAGTCAGCAGGTTGATAAAGGTCAACCGTTTGAAATTATTTCAGCCCTGCGAAAATGAATTAAAATACAACAAAAGCAAAATCAAAAATACAGAAAATAAAAGAAAAAGAAGATGAAAAGGTAAAAAAAAAATAGAATAATCTAAAAAAGGAAGGATAAAAATAAAAACCTGAAATGTTCGATTAAAAAGGTATTAATTAATAAACTGATATCCAGCTTGGGTTGTTTTTCTATCTGCTTGCACCACTTTATTTAAACCCAATAAAAATCCAATTGAACTTCATTTTCTACTTCATTAAATTGCTTGATCTGAGCTGTGTGTGGGTGCAAGCTTCACAGCTCCATTCATGACTTTATTCATTACTAATGTGTTTTTTTGATGAATTGTTCTATTTTACAGATCTTTTGCTCCTCTGAACTATTTAGTTATTTGTATAAGTGGGAACAAAAAACAAAAAGAGATTAATATACATTTTATATAGTCTAAAAGCCTGCAGACATAAAAATGAGCCCAACATCTAGAAACTCCTAGTGAGGAAGATGGGGGTTGGGTGAAGCAGAGGCGGAGAGGAGGGAGGCTGCTTTCTTAACTGCAGGATAGCCTTGATGACTGTGGTTAAGGAGGCTGCGAGTGGCCTCAGACTGCACACAGAGCCTCATTGACGGGTGGAGGAGAGGCTTGGCGTGTCTCTGAGCTGCAGTGCCAGCGAGCTCCTTCCACGGGGCCGGGCTGGCAGACTCCCAGCCGCTGGGTCTGTCACAGAGAAACCACGAGGGGAATGCAAACAGGCTTAGAGCTGCCGCTCTGCACCACTCTTCACCCACCGACAGAGGAACAATGAAACACTCAGACATTAGTATTCATTTCAGCACGTTTCATTATAAAAACTATTGTTCCTGTCTGTGTGTATTATGAAGAGCCTGCAGACTTATGCATGATTCAGAATCACACACTGACTGATGGCATGAGCGACACTTATTGTTTCATTTACAACCCGACTGCACAACCAAATTAGTCATCAGAAACGAATGAGCCAATAATCCTAACGTGCCTTCCACAGACTTTAACTGCGATTTCTGAAACCCAATAATCAAATCTCTGGCTAGTTTCTACAAGTTCATGCAACCTTTTGCTACAGGAGCATTTTTAAATCCAAATTTAGCTGAAATTTGAAATCCATGTGCAACCACAGAAAAGAACATCAATATTACAGCCCTGGTTGCTGTATGTTTGAACTGAAATTATTATTCCACCCAACTGGCTTCTGTGACAACCCACCATATGCATCGTGGCTCCTTTTCTCCATATCTGGAATCCACCGCCACCCATCAGGGGATGAAATTGGATGGCGACCTCAGATTTGACACAGAGGTCAGAACTGTTGTAAAAAACAAGCTTTTTAAGGAGCTAAATTCAACACAGTCGTGTCCTTGCAGGATCATTAATGCCTTTATGATAATTACCTCACACCTTGATTATTGTAACGCTCTGGATCTCTGGGGCACACAGGTAATTCAGAGCCTCATCCTTGAGCTCGATCTCACACATTTAAAAAAAATCCCTACTTCCTAGTCTCCCTGTGGGATACATAATACATTTTTCATTATCTTATTTGTTGTTAAAAGTCTTAATGGCTTAGCTCCACCCTATCTCTTTGACCTGCTTCACCTGTATTCCCCTCCATGGGCTCTTGGTTGTTCAGCAGAAGAAACTGAAAACAAGTTGAGGAACAAGTCGGTTCAACAAGCCTCTTTCAGTGTCGTCTTTTAAAACCCTTAATAGCCCTTTTTTTCTGTGTTTAAAGGTTCATGATTTGCTTTTGTTTTGCACAAATCCTTGTTTTTTTAAACATGGAGTTAAACTGTTATATCCCTTTTTTACATCATTCCCTATTCTGATTGTTAAACCTCTCCATGTGCCTCCTTTGGTTATTTGTTGGTCAGTTATTTATTATTTTTAAACATGTTTCATAACTGGAGTGAATTTTATTTTATTACAATTTAGTAAGTGTTTGTCTGTTGTGTGCTCTCAAACACTAAATATTAACAGAAACATTTCTCCAAATCTGATGATTTGGAAAAGTTTAGTAAGAACCTTTTATTCATCAAACTGATCAAAAGCTGACTGTAAAAAATACATTAACATGATGGCGGAATATATATATATAAAAATAGACATATTACAAATATGTGACAATATAACAGTCAATAATATAACATACAAGGTTAGGAACCAGTTGTAATGGAAACAAAGTGCTGGCCAACAGTTCTTAGAAGAGATGCACCGAACTGATACCTGAATCTGATATCAGCTCCATAGTCACTAATAAGCTAGTTTTGATATCAGTGATTTGATCTGATATTGAAGAGCCAATCCAGTGCACTTTACATGGATTTATTTCTGTTTGATTATTATTTTTTATATTTAAAATGAAGTACATTTATATACATCTTACTTTGTTGCCTTTTTATAACAATGTTTATATTGAGGCTAAAGACTTTGCTCACGTGGCAAGATATATAGATAAGTTATTTAACAGTTGAGTCAGATCGGTATCGGGTGATATGTTCAATATAAATCTACCTAAAGGATTTTGCATTTGATTTCAAGGCATGTCTGCTGATTTAACTAATGAATTTGTGAACACCTGCAAGTATTGCCTGAAACGATGCAAGTAAAAAAAATACTATCACAGGTCAATGCGTCAGTCCATCTCTAAATATAAAACTTTTATGTCCTATAATAGTCCACCAATGGCTCTAAGCAATAAACAAGCTCATGCTTTCACAGTAAAAGATGTGCATCAGCTGCAGTGTTTCGCTTTTCATTACAGAAGATAAAAACTGTTACTAATGCTGGAGTCTCAGACCACAAGTCCAAGTCAAGTTCAAGCCTTTAGGGCCAGGTCTAGATCTAGTCTGCTCAGTGCAACTAAGGTAGAGATAAAAAAAAAAAAAAGTAATTTGTGTCTTTTTCTGTTATTTCCAACGAGCAGGAAGCCAGATACGCCCTGGACAGCTGCCCGTCCAGCAACAGGCGACAACCGTGCCACATGAAGCAAATCAACACACACAAAACAATGCCCAACATGGAATCACCTTTCCAACCGTGGGAAATAAGAGCTTTGCCAGAGAACAGAAGCCAGGCTGCCAGTATGCGATCATGAAGGAGGACGACAGTGGAGGAGCAAACGGATAAAAGGGATGGTTGCTTTCTTTTTGTTTTGGTTTTTTAAATGCACCCTTCTCAGCGCGCAGCGAGTCACTCAGACATAGCTAAGTGTAAACAAAGTGCAGCGAGGCGCCGCTCGCAACGTAAAGCTCCAATCAGAGAACAAAAAGATTGGGATCATGTGTTTGGCCTGCAAGGCCTGCAAGCATGTGGTGCTTTTGTTCCTCCAGAAAATGACCTGGACAGAAACCTGCAGATAAAAAACCCGGGGCTACAAGGAGATGCAAATACACTGCAACCTGAGACTGGAGGAACAACTAACCTGTATCAAGCTGTAAATAAAGAGCCTTACTGTCCTTTAAACAAATCATCCTGCAGCATGTGAAAGGCTTGGTTTAAGTTTCCATATGTGGAAACCACCGATACAGAGGGCGCTTATTTGTTTTTATTTTCAGCAAAGTGTCTCTCTAACAGGAAGCCTGATGACAGCGCAGCACAGACAGGGGAAATTAAACGGGGAAGTAACACATTTTAATGGAAAGCAGATAATAGCACAACTAATTTAGTTTAAAAAAATGTATAGTTCAGAAAGAACTTTGTGCCCGATCTAAGGAGGCTTCCTCAGCAAACCGGTTCTAGAACAATCTGGTCACCAATGAATTCTATTTCTATCAATATCAGGCTGCAGAAAAATCAAACCAACTCTTTAAGCCTCTAATTTAACAGTCCCAGTCAACCGGAGTTGCTTCAGCAATGAAACCTCTAGTGCAAAAAAAAAAATAAAAAAAAAGGTCTACATGTGAGGCGAATGTGATTTTTGACACCAATTCCCTTCTGAAAAAGGAGGAACAAAGCAGATCTCTGTTAGTTTTTTTAATTGGTTCAGTTTCCTTCTAAAGAACTAGTCAAAAAAAACAAGGTCATCACAGCCAGACAATCCAGAAGTTAGGAAATGCTAACTGGGGCAGAAGCCCTGGGTCGGGCTTTGGGGAACCGTAAAGGGAACGTTCCTTCTAAATTCCCTCCTTTCACTGTGCTCTAAGTTAAACTTGCATCCGGTGGTTTGTTTAAATAGTTGTTTTCATGTTGATAAAATGACTATACAAATAAAAGAGACCTGCAAATGATAAAAGCAGCAAAAAGGTGAACAGTCTTACCTGTGGGTTGAGCTCCTGTTAGGATTCTCCCGTCAAGCTCCTCTGACCCCCCGACAACAACGCCACAGAGCTGCAAAGAAAACACCAGGATATGTTTCAAACAAACAAGGAAAAATCTTCAAAATATCTTTTTCAGTTAAAAGCGCTCAGATAAATCTGATCTGCAACACATTTCCTATTGCTCCTCTACTACATATAAAAAATGACTGCAGTAAGAAATAAAACAGCAGCTTTATATTTGTCTTCATTTGAAACAAGCTGCTTTTATTCGCAAAATCCAAAACAAAGCGCTCCAGAAAACTTAACGCACCTTACATATTTGATTTTTTTCCCCCTGTCATACAAATTATAACATCAAACAAAAACAAGCTTGGGACACTTTTAAAAAATTTGAATGATTTTATTGATAAATGGGAAAAGGTGATTCTAGCCAACTAAAATGTTTCCATATATGGCAACGCTTCCTTCACATCACTGTTGACACAATCAAGGTTACAGCACATCATCCAAACAGATTCAAGTCTGTGATTTGACTAGGCCGCAATAAAACATTAAAAAGTTTATACTTTATTTTTTTTGTGTTTTGAATTTGGTGTTCAGAGGTGGACTTGGCTGGTCCTCCTCTCACTACATAAAACATAAACATACCTACTAAATGTTTGCAGTCCGGAGCCCTGACACAGATTAATCCATAAAAGGATAATATTACGTTAGTCCCATGATGGTGAAACGAGCTGTTGTTCATGTGGTCAGCTGAGAGAATCCAAAGCAAACACAGGTTTTGCAGCAGCTCTATGCCAACTGGTGCAATAGCTGAACAACCAAAATAAAGATGTGAAATGTTAGGTGAGCCAGTGTACTTAGGCACACCACATGTTTTAGCACAATGAAGCAATAATTAACTCTTCAGTGTTTTTGAATCTTATATCATTAGCTGAAAACAATGACATGACTTTTTAATGCAATCTCAATAGTGGGTGTGAGTAGAGTTATTGTTGCTGCTTTTAGGTCATTGTCACCTCTGCGGTCTGCTGCAACCTTCCGCTAATCTACAGGCAAACAGGAAACCGGGAGCTGAGGACGACGGTCTGCTGCCCCTTGGGGCATATCAGTCCCAGTAATGCCCCCTACCTCATATCTCACCCCTTTTCCTCCATCTCTCCTTTCCCCGCTTTCATCTCTGATGAATAATTCAGCAGATACGCTGTTTAAGAACCCGACTCTTAAGCCTTCGCTGATTACACAGGCTGAACGAGCACCACACAAAGACTTCTTAAAATCTAATGTGGGATTCCCCATCAACATCGTTAATTAGGTCAGGAAAGGGAAAGTTCAGATTATAAAAAGGACACTCCATCTGTTGCTGTAACTCCACTAGAGCCAACAGAAACAATTTTGTGGCAACAATAACTGCTACCCTATATGGGCCTGATCCTGGAGGATCTTATCAAACTGGAATGGGATTAGAGGTGTTGAGCATCTGCCAGCCTAATCTGGGTTTTAATAGAGGATCATCTGGTGTTACTGAACTGCGCTCTGTACACCTGGCCTGTGACCTCTGATCTGTGTCAGTGTTACACAGGCCATCAGATCTGATGAGTCAAAAGAAAAAACTACATTTGGGTCTTAAAGAGGTAAAGTGGAAATCCTGCAGATGATAAAATAACAAATAAAATAACAAGGCAAAGGAAAAGAAAAAAAAACAAACAGTATATACTCTCTGTACATGATGTGCGAATGCTGTAAGCTCTGAATGAACAAAGAGGCTAACCTGAAACAGTTCATCATGTTAGTACTGTATTAAACATACCCTACTAACGAGGAAAAGAAAAGAATAAACACTTAGTGCTGAAAAAAGTAGGTTACATTTTGAAAATTTCATTGCCTATAACACTGATGGCTATACGCAAAGTAGAGCATCTAATAGCATTAGCTAAAACAACAACCTTAGCTTCCATGCTAACATTAGAATCTACTTCAAAGCATAAAAAGAAAATTACATATTGTACTATTGGTAGATTTTATGGTAATTGAAAAAATATTAATCTCCAAATAAAATGAATGAAAATGGTAACTAAATGTTGTTGAAGTAATATTGTATGCTACCATTAGCATTTTCCCATTGATTAGCTAACACTAGGGTTGTGTCGGAATTTCTGCCCTGATCACTTTATTCAATTCATTTCAATTCAATTCAGTTTATTTATATAGCGCCAATTCACAACACATGTCATCTCAAGGCACTTTACAATTTAACTAGACAATACAGTCAAATTGATTCAAAGTTTTCTATCTAAGGAAAACCAGTTGATTGCATCGACTCATTGACTCAAATGCAATCCCTCACACTAAGCATGCTTGTAGCGACAGTAGAGAGGAAAAACTCCCTTTTAACAGGAAGATACCTCCAGCAGAACCAGGCTCAGTAGAGATATAGAGGTTACACCATTTTAGATGAGTGTCCAAAAGTCTAGTGGATGAGAAACTAGTGGACTCGGAATTTCCAACAATGCACCTTGAAAGGTAGTGATCATCCATGGTCACTATATGAGCAGATATATCCCAGAATGCTTTGCATTCCACTGGGATTTGCTGTCCCAGCGGCCCATTGTCGCTACCACGGCGACTAATAAAGATGGTGCAGGCACCGTGCAGTGGAGAAGGAATTAGGTGAACAACAGGGAGCGAAAAGTAGTGATTATCTTTCCGAACGGTCAGTCAACCGAGGTCACTATAAAGTCCACTATATAGCCCCCACTCTATATAGTGATTGAGGGATTAAGGGGTTAGGGCGGATGTTCGGATACAGCCCTAGAGGATGAAAAAGGAGTGGACTGGAAAGTCCCCAAAATCCACCTTGAAAAGTAGTGATCATCCATTGTCACTAGATGAGCAGATAATCACGAAATGTTTTGTTAGGAGAGCTCTCCTCGCAAAGCATTATGAGATTTGTTGTCACAGCGGCGACATAACAAAAATAGTGCAGGCAATGTGCAGGGAGGGGGAGTCACGTGACCAACAGGGAGCTAAAAGTAGTTATCGTCTGTCCGAACGGTCGGTTAGCTGAGTTCACTATAAAGCCAACTATATAGTCCTCACTCTATATAGTGATCGAGGGATCGAGGGATCTAGGGGTTAGGGCGGCTGTTCGGACACAGCCTAGATGCTATGTAAAACAAACTGAAGTAGTATGGAAAATTTTATAGTTCATAAGTAAAACTTTTACATCTTGAATGTCTGGAGTGAAGTAAAATAAGAGTGTATATTTGACTGAAAAAAACTGAGCATAACAAATGTTTTATCAATTTTAACAGGTCCAAAATATACAAATATTTGCTTCTGGTAACGTTGAAATCACATGGGACTAAACATAGGCATTGGCAGATCCTAGTAGCGCCATGAAAGAGCTGAGAAATTGTTGGATGGTTTTGTCTGCGTTAATTATTATTATTATTATAATTATTATTCAAAACAACCCAAAGATTAGAATTGGCGAACCTGGCAACCGGCTGGCAAACATTTACTGGCTGGGAGGAGTTAAACATGTCGCCATCACCTTTAATGGCGGCTAATTGTTTAGTATCAGCGATGGTAACATTATGCTAAAATTTGCACTTCCATGAGAAATGCTAACACTGCCATGTTAGAGTACACACAAACTAGAGCATCATGATAGCCGAAAACAGCATTGTCCATGTTTTCCAAAACAAAATCAATATTTAGAAAATATGAACTTTTTAACTAAACCACATTAAAACAAAATATATTTTCTTGTTCTTTTTTCACAACCTCTTAAACACTACATGCACCTACCATGGCTTTGGGGTCTTAATCACCAAGACCTAGACAAGACCCTAAAAGATTTTGTATGCATAATCTCTAAAAACCTTAACTGATAGGGTAACGAGTGGCAGTAGAGCATCTAACCTAACTATCAGTGTCAGTGTTACACAGACAATCAGGTCTGATGAGTCAAAAGAACCAAAAAACCTAAACACCATTTCCTCAAAATAAGCCTAGTCATATATTTGGTTTTTTAATAGGTTAATGTTGTTCACAATATACAGTACTAACATATTCTCTTTTATTTTAGTTGGTCCCTAAACTATAGCTTTTTCAGGTTTGCAGTTTTGCTTATTTAGCTTATAGCATTAACACATTTTTTTTTGTTTCCTGCCTTCCCTTGCCTTGTTGTTTATTTTATCATCTGCTGAATTTCTGCTTAACCTCTTTAAGAACCAAATCAATATCTTTGCTTTTGTTTGAGGCAATAAAATTGAGTTTTTTTTGTCTGATTTTGTGATCCAGACATGAAATGTGTGGCAATGGAGCATCCAACCTAATATACAGAAGGCTACTGGCCGTCAACAAGGTTTTTTGGGAGTTCTTCTGTATTTCTTCCCTCTTTTTTCTCTGCCTTTGACATATCAAATACATTAAAAAAGGCATAAAAAGGTAAGTGTTGCAAGTTTGGAGAACCAACTGGTCTCAAAATGATAAATGTTTGTTCATTTACACGCATATAAAACAAAATATCATAACAATAAATGAGAGGAAATACTCCTGTCATGATATTTGAAGGGCTATGGTTAATATTTGAGTGGTTGAAATAGCACACTCATTGAAGAAGCAGTTTAAGTTGAAACAAACACAACAGGATGAAGCATCAGCAGCAGGAGGATCTCAATAAATCAAAGGAAATTCTGCTGCAGCAGTGAGAAGAAATGCACAAAAGCAGCTTAGATCCTGTCAGTCTAACTCTGGGGGGTTTGGTGCAGGAAAGAGTGTCTGAAGATGTGTCAAACGCCACGCTTTCCAAATGACAATCCAGAGAGGAGCATACAGACTGAAGTTCTTGCTGTGAAAGCCAAGTGTGTGGGTGAGGAGATGTAAACAAAGAGACTAAAACCTAAATCCTCACACGGAGGCGTCAACAAAGACAGGAGATGACTACATTTTCCCCTTTCTCCAAAAAAATAAAAAAATCTAGGCCAAAGTCGTGCATTTTTTCACACACATCAAAACCAGGCGGCCGTCTGCAGCATTAATAGAGATGCAGATAAATATCAAAGAAGGAGGAGCGATGTGGGGGAGACAGAATCAGGCTGACGGGCTCCCTCAGTGCCGCTTCCTGTCTCATGTTTGGCTATATGAACCGAGTCCAATCGCTGTGCACGGGTGATATTTGGGATGGAGGTGGGGGGATGGGGATGCAGGTTGGAAGAGGAGATCTTCTCTTCCCAAAACAAGCTTACAGGCTGCAAGCATGAGAGCAGTTAAAGCAGAAAACGGGGTGATTTCTTCCAATCAGAACTGGGAGAAAAAGCATCAGCCCCCAATCCCAAATCCTCCAACCGCAAGAGCAGCTTTCAGGCAGCAACGTCCAACACCCACTCAGGAGATTTATGGCACTTTGTTAGCTTCAACCTAAACAGGCTGGTTCAGGTTGAATTCAAACACAGGACACACAGCCGGTCAATGTGACCGACACCAAGGGTGCTAAACCAAACAGAAGAGCTCATTAAACACATGGAATACCTGCTTCCTCACGACCCCTCAGGGTGACAGGCTCTGAAAGCCCCACATTAGATGGAAAAAACTGCATCTCCTCCTGCAGCTTCCAGCTCAGTGTCGTTAGAGGACAATTTCTGTGTCAGCTCACCTTGCTGCTGCTGCCTTTTCTGTCATCCAGTCAGATCATCTGATATCTCCCTCCAGCAGAATGAAATGCAAGGCACCAGAATGGAGGTGAGAAAAGAAAAGAGGCCTCAGCCTTACATGTCTGTTTCCCGGCTGTGGAGGAGAAAATCCCCTCCTGTGAAAAGTCTGATCACTTTCCGAGCTGACTGAGGAAGCCGGTTTCCTCTACGCTGCAGCTACCACAGGCCTGTCCTTGGGCATGTGTGCTGTGTATGCAGCGGCTGCTGTATCTCCCATTGTTCCAGGACGAGTCAGGCAGGCTTCCTACCCCGATAGACCCAGCCTACTATAACAGCTGTGGACCAGCCCCCCACCTCTCTGCTGCTCCCCTGCGCCCCACCTCCTCTTCCAACTCCTGCTTGAGCTGCTGCTAAACATTAACCCTGCAGCTGCTGGCTCGAGCCATAAAGAGCCCAAGGTGATGGGCGAGCAGGGGGGTTCAAAAGCGGACAAAGAGACGTAAGAGAGGGGGGATATCCTACAGCCGGGATGAACTGACAGGACTTCGCACGGAGCGGTTCTGTGGCCTAGAAAGAAAGCAGGCTGTGTGTTAAGAGGATTGACTTCCTCAATCACTTTGGCAAGAGGAGCTGTGTGTGAATAATGTGTGACTGCAGCGAGGAAAATGGAATCTACTGGAAATTTAGGATGAATCTGAAACGGCAATAAATAATCAGCCTCAAAAAGAGTCGCCGGAGAGATGACGTTATATAATCAGAAATTAAATGAATCCCTAAAATCAGGCACAGTTAAAACAACCATCAACTCATCAAATAGGGTCTCCCTTACATCTTTTACCCTCTATTTATCTCACTTTGCCTTTATTCAAGCATTTCTACAAGGATAATAAGCTCCAATAACAGAATTTTACTCTTTGAATGGACGGAGTATCAGAAATCTTTTTTTAAACATGTCCGTATCTGTTGAGTAGTAAATAGAGCTGCTAATAAAAACCAATGATTATTTCCATCATGTTGCTGAATGGAGGGGGTTGGCCATGGGATTTTTGTTAGGTCATGTGACAGCCATGGTGATGCAGTGCAGGATTGTGGGATGTAATGAAAGGAGAGAAGCAATGTCAACAGTGTGGTCATTTTTTCAGTCTCAAAATAGAAAGGAGATATTATATAATGTGGATAATTATTAGTTTGACAATAATAGCAATACTGCTATCAGATATCAAACCACACTGGCATATTTGTCTTATAATCACAGGAAGACTTAAAAGAAAACAGCAAAAAAAGTTAAATTCTGATCAATAAATATTTTAAAACTGCAGCTTAAAAAAGAAAAGTATTTTTTTACTTCAATAATCTCATATTAATATTCAATAGTAGCCTCCTACTTCTATGCGCTCTATGTCTATATTTGATGACAGTGTTGTTCGCATACAACCAGCTAATAGAACCAATGCTCCGTTCTCACGGCGCTGAGAGAAAACGCCTTCAAGTAGTCAGAACTCTCTCTGGAGTTCTTCCAGCATTTCCAGCTGTTGCTGAACATCTCCAGGAGAGAATGTGAAGAGCAAACGGAGACGGCAAGTCCAGACCAAACTGTCCCGAGTCTCTCTTGTGCTCATGTGTGAAAACAGTTGTGATTTTTGGAAAAGAAGTGTTTAAGCAGCACCATGGAGTTTTTCTTCCTGGGCACAGCGTCTCCATGTATATCTGTCCAGGTTTTCACCCCCTCCCGTGTGACTCATCTGTTGTCCTTGTTAATGAAGCCACCTCATCCTTGCAGACCAGACATACCAGACAAATTGAGCAGAGTCTGATAACAAAATAACTTCTACAACAACAAGTGGGGAAAGAAGATGTGATTTGTGACCGGCATGCAGGAGGGCAAACAATGAAGCAGCTCAAAGGGGCATTCACAGGTCATCTTCAGGGCCCGATCTTGTGATTTGCAAAAGGGAGGAATGTGTTGATAGTTTAGGTAGTGATATCCTGCCTCAGCCTCTGCAAACAGCTTTCAGGAGGATTATCCTTACAATTTGAATGTTGATATTTTTATTATTATCATTTTGACCTGAATGCAGCAGACAGATCTGACCTGAATCGATTAAACCCCAGAAGCTCACTTCCTCTGTAGTGAGAATCAGCTGCCTGGGGGCTCCAACATGGGCGACATTTGTTTTAAACTATGGTCACTCAAACCTCAGTCTGCCCTGTTTGGCAAGTACAGAGCTGCCCCAGATTTGTAAAGGAATTACAGCTTTCTGAGTCTGGAATGAGGGCAGGGGGTGCTTTTCAAAGACAAATGCTCATGCTGGTAAACTCAATATGGGAAAAAAAAAAAAAAAGGAATTCAATTTTACAGATTTAAAATAACAATTTGAAGATTTATTCAGCATGTATTCCATCCTCTTATCTGCCCAGTTGATGGCTGAAATTTGTTTTCACAACCGAGCAGTTTATATCCTGGTCACTATAGAGGTGAAAGAAGTCTTTGAATTTTATGAAATAAAAATATCTAAAGAAATTAAGTAACTCAGAAATTAAGTAACTCCATAGGGAGTGAATGAAGTTTAATAATCCTTTTTATTCCCACAATATTCTTTTGAACACAGATTTTAAACATTCAATTATTGAAATTAGTCCAAATTATGAAAAGAAAAACAATTTTATTGATCAAACATCAGTTTACAACTGATTATTAGGACCACAGTGAGGAAGGAAAAAAATTAGGGGAGGAATTTTTTTTTTCTTTCTTCCTCACCAATCAAAAAGTAGAAATGTTGAGAATGAAGTTGAAATATTGTGTTGACAATAAAGTAAAACTGTCAATAAAAAAAAGTTATAAATGGTCCAAAGAATAAAGTCGATAATGTCAGTGGACGTGAAGAACGATGGACATCAGCTCAATCGTGTGCCGTTTGGCCTTCTCTGAAAGTGAGCTTTTCAATCCACAGTTTGACTTTATTCTCGACGTTTTAACTTTATTCTGGAAATTTGGACTTTACTGACCTGTTAAGGAAGAGGGTAGAATTATTACTTCACTAATAGTTTTTTTCCCCTCAGTGTGGCCCTAATACTTCATCATACAATCGAACATCTGGGCCAAAAATGTAAATGTGCTTAAGAACCACCAACACTGACACTCCCTAGGGATATGTTCTCCACTTGTTCTCATCTTCTTATAAAGAAGTGGCTGAACCTCAGCGAACCAGTTTATAAAACATCTGAGGTTTGCAGATGACACTACTGTAATTGGTCGGATCCAGAAACATTTTAATTCAACTACCTCTGCTCATCATCCTTCACAACACTGTGCCGAATCTGGACCAAATCCGGTTTCAGTGGAACCACCCACTCTAGTTGCCTGGGTGGTCCTCAGCACTCAGACTCAGAAGAAGGCTGAGCAGAGACTTCCTGTGGCATCTCAGGAGGTACAGCCTTCCACATCCATCTCTGTGTGGTTTGGCTCATCTACAAAAACAGCACTGGTCAGAAGTGTAAGGAGCAATTAAGGCTGGAGAGAGGATTGTGAGCATAAGGAGTTGTCCATGAACCACACAATGACACAGTGCTTTTTATACAGAGCAGCACCAGTAAACAATACTCTGCCCAAGTTAAAAAAAATAAAAAATGCATAAAATCAAGAGATATTAAAACTTCTGTCTAGCACTAAATAACAGAGACGACACTACAGCCGTGTGAGTCGTCAGTTACCACCAATAAAACCATTTACACATCATGCAAGCATTGTCCCTCACCTCCTATCAGTGGTCTAGGATACCACAGCTGTCAAGGCAGGAATTATGCAAACAAAAATGGCAGCACATTCAGGAACTTATGTGACTGGATATCGTCCTTCGCCAGTATTTCGATGAGAGCCTTTGTCTCTGCATCATCTCAGGTCACACCACACTCTTTAGATGCCATTTATTGTTAATAGGCTGAGAAGAGGTTTGTGTTGTGAACAGGTGTGGTGAACTAGTGGTTAGAGCATTGCGCTTGGGTCTTGGAGGTTTTAATTTAAAGTCCCACACACACCTACAGACTGACACTCTGGCTCCCTGATCGAGACCCTTAACCCCTGACTGCTCCCCGGGCGCCTCACAATGGCAGCCCCCTGCTCCTCAAGGTTAAATGCAGATAGTTTATTTTTAATTGCTTTCACACAGAAAAAATTGAAAAAAAAATTGAAAAAAGGTGAAATTGCAAAGCTGGACACGCCAGAAAACCTGTTAAATGAATGAGTTGACTGTAAATAGGAGATAACACTGTCTGCTCATGTGCTCTTTGTTATCAGAGAACCGAGCCACAACTGTACCGTGCCGAGCACATCTGTTGAACTAGTACTAGATTTAGTGCGGTTCAGTTGTGTCTGGTACAGTTCAGTTCAGTTGCGTTCCATTTACACTCAACAGTTATCCTGAGTACCGTGCTCAGACCGTTCTCAGCACGGTTTCAAAAGGGTAGCGTAGATGGGGCTAGAGACGAGTAGGAGCAGAGATAAAAGAGGAGCTATAGACTTTCACTTCATAGACATGTGGTTAGTTTTCTTGCCCAATTTGATCAAGTTTAATTTGTAATAAAACCGTCAATATTTATTACAAATAGCCAGTTTTTTCCCCATCCGTCATAATTTTATGGGCTAATGCAATAGTAATCTTGGGCTAAGGCTTTAATAAATGGATCTAAACCAGGATCATGTTTAATCTATATTTGAGTGCCATTTAATTCCCTCTCAAAACGTATATCATTATTTACCATTACAAACATGTTCCTTTTTTATTCATGCATTTATACTGAAACTCTGTTTTCCCATGGTAAGGAACAAATAAATGCATCAATAACAGCAATATTTAGTGATAATGTTATTGAGTGACTGAGTGTGTGGGTGTTTCAGCTGCAGTTTGTAAAAGACAGTTCTCCGCAGAGGATCAAAACAGACACTAGAGCTCTCCTTCATTCATGCTCAGTGTGAGCTGTGTGGGTGAGTCCAGTCTGGGAGATTTTATTTCTAGGCTGTGTGGCATGCCGCTTCAGCCAAGGTCAAAGATCCAGAAGGCCAAACTATAGAGTCTGATGGCAAAACAAGATAATCCATAAAACAATGAGTCATTAAATATTCAGGTTGAATTAAACACTTAATTTAGACATTTTAATTCTTTCCTTTTTGGTTTCTATCTGGATACATTTCAACTTTAAATTGAAGTTTGAAACTCAACAGTAAAACTAGCAACTTTTCAAATTCTTGTAGATCTGTGCTGATAAAATTAAAACTAAAGCATTTTGTATTGACCATATTGTTAGTTAACCACCTACAA